TGGTCTTGGGCCACGGCGTCGTCGGCGGGTACGCGCTCGTCTGGCACGAGAGGTTGTCGCCGGGCGAGACGCCGAGGAGGTCGCAGAACTTTTTGTAGCTCGCAATGCGCGTGATCTCCGACTGCTTGTTGGGCGGGTTCGGACCGCACTCGAGGCCGCCGTTGATGATGTACGTCGTGTACGCAAAGCCGCCGGGCTGACCAACCACGTCGTGGATGTTGCCGTTCCACTTGTCGGCGTTCCAGAACCAGAACGCGCTCAGCCAGACGAGGTCCTTGTCCTTGGCGATCAAATCGGGGTTGCTCACAAAGTCCTTGCCAAACGCGTCGCCAAAGTCCTTGTAGTTGTAGTTCCACGAGAGCTGGATCGGACCACGACCAAAGTACTGCTTCCCGGGTGCGCACGGGTACTGCTGGCTGGCTTGGCAGTACTCGTTCTTGTTGATCTCTTCGACGTACTGGAGGTCGCCCGACTCGAGCGAGATCTGGCCGAGGAACGCCGCGACCTCGCGCTTGTCGACGTCGTCGTTGCCCGTGTTGGCAAAGGCCGGGTACTTTTGGGACATGGCAATCATGTTTTCGTACTGGTAGATGGGCAGCGCGTTCGGGAAGAGCTTCTGGAACGTGGCCTTGGAGAGGATCGTGTCGAGGCCCTTGGCGTCGACCATGGACGCCAAGAGGAGACCGACAGCGACAATGTTATGCATCATGTTGGTGTTGGGACTGCAAATTCAGAAATGAGCTCGAGACGCGCGCAAGAGCAAGCGGCTACACACAGTGAGGCCATGCGCACGGCGACTGTCCGGTTCGCGTTCGAACACAGATGGTGTACCACCGCCTCGAGACCGTATAGGCCTGGCCCACATACAAATCTCTACTACACCCAGTGCATTGTCGGCGTGTTGTGACATACAACACGTCGGCAGTGCCCAGAGGCACATATATGAGCCATAAGAGTCCGTGTGACCGCATTGATGGTCGACATGATCCTGAGAAGCAGATGTCATGCCCATCGGAACTGATACCGTTCTCGCGGAAGCTCCAGCAAAACGCTAACTTGGCAACAGTCATTTTTGTCATTGGCTACATGGCATCGCGCATTGGGGCTGCCTTTTCAGATCTGAGCCCGTCCACATCTGGTCAAGAGCCAGGAGCGGTCACATCATAGATACAAGGTATATTGGCAGACTAATCGTGCATTCGGCTTCGAGTTCGATTCCATGGTCAGAAGCT